CTCTTTTCAGCAGTTTTCTCTCAGGAGTTTCAAATGTTATTTTTTCAATCACCTAGGTAACCAACTTTCTGCTGCATTCTCTGGTGAATTTATTTATTGTTCTATTATGCATTATCTTTCCTATATCTAGTAAGCCTTCTAGGAATGCCGTCTTGAGCACCTGAAAAATCATATAATGAATAATTTTCATTTGAAGTGAGCCCACACAAAATTTCTTATAGTAATTAATTTGTACATATAGTTCCTGACCTATGACCACAATTGAGCTCAATATTTCTGTTGCTAAGCAGGACAATTGTTTTGCCCCATTTTATGATTTTCCCCCCATAGTTGTTAAGTGAATCACTGCAGTTGATACGTTAGTAGCATTGTTGTGAAGTGAATCTGGCTTCTTCATTGACTTTGCATGTCAGAAGGTCATAAAAGATGATCACATGACCACAGGACACTGGAACGGTCATAAATATGAGCCAGTTGCCAAGGGTCTGAATTTTGATCGCATGACCATAGGGGGTGCTGCTATGGTCATAAGTGTGAAAAATAATTTTAAGTCACGGTTTTCAGTGCCACTGTAATTTCGAATAGTCACTAATTGAATGGTAATAAGTCGAGGACTACTTGTATAATGAGAACACTGAATTTGTTTTGAGTTTTGTGGGAAATCTGTTCATAGTTACAGTAATATTGACATTACTCTTTGAAAGATTTCAGCATATTTAGGTACTATTCANATTTAAATTAATTTTAAGTTTTTTATAGACAGTCTCTTTTTAAAACAGTAAAAGTTCCTCACCAGCTGGAAACACTTTCTCTTTCCGCATCCTTCTGTTTTGGAGCCGCCCCGACTTCGTCAGCCTTGGCTGGATTTTTTTGTCACCGGCTTGAAGAACTTCTCTTGCATCGATCAGGGACTTTGCGATGTCCCTGAGATCAGCAAGACGTATTCTTCCTGTTCACCATCTCTTCGGGACGGTTTAGGTCCAAATGGACCACCCAGCGGCAAAAGTATCGGCTGGGGTCTCGGAGCATCGAGACCGCACGTCCGTATTGTCGCGCCGTTGGCTCCTCCTCATTTATTTTAATATTTTTAATCTCATTGTAAAAAGAGAATGTAGGGAGTGTAGAAGAGCATAGAAGAGAATTCAGATGACTTTCAGGTAGGAGCAGAATAATAAACAAGCATTCTGCTTAGTTAGAGACATGTTACTAGAATTCTGAAGGCAAAATGATTTACAGGTTCACAGTTCCTCCATTATTATACTGTAGCTGTTATAATGTAATTATGTTTTACCAGAGTTTATTCTGTATGGATTTAACTCTTCAAATATTATGAACAATTAAAAAAAACACAAAATACCCATGTCTAGGTGTTGTACTAAGTGGTGGCCCTATCTTCATGTCAGGGCAACAACTTTTGAAGTGCAAGTATTAGTAACACGAAGAACTTGCTTTTGAAACCAATTATTCTTTTGCTCTTTTTAAAATGCTGCTATGCTGTTACTATGGCCAAACAGGAAGAAATAGTGCAGGGGACATAAGAAATGTCACTTCTTGGAGTATCATGTAGTCTATTGATGTCTCAGTAACAGAAGAAATGCATAAGCAGAAAAACCTAAGTTAAAAAGAACACTTTTTGACTGCCCCAGTTTCTTTAAAGTGCTATTAGAATGGATAGACAGATAAAATAACAATTACAGTTTCTGCTTCAAAGAGTGATTTTCTTCATTCCCTCAAGGAGCCAAACAATTGAATCACATATCAATAGACATCTTTGTATATCTTGGTATCTTACTGCATTGATTGTTCAGTGAACATATATACAAAAAACTGTTTTCGCACTAATCAACTAGAGAAGTTTTTTAAATGTATAAAATAAAAAATTCTTAAGACTGTATTTTGATAAAATAAAGGGAAGGCAGAACAAGCATTTTTAACTGGCAACATATACCAAATGATTGATTGTGCCTATATTAATGATTTTGAAATTAAACAAAATCTATATAAACACCTAGCACTTGTTTACAACCCCTCCCCCAAAAAACCAAGAAAATGTGACTGTTCAGTGGTTTTTTATTTACACAATGACACTGTATCTTCCAATATTCAATCTGCTCCTGTCATTCTAAAATCCTGCAGAGTTGAAAATATGCAAAACTGCAGGAAAATAATGTCCATAACAGTCACCACTTTCTCCGGAACTTAAAGAAGAATGTAATGGAAAACAATATTTAGGCCATATTCAAACATCTGTAGTCAGAATGGAAGTCAGTTTGGGTGAGAGCCTTTCATATCTAAATGATGAACAAGATAACATGAAACTCATGAATAAATGCAACTGTTTATTATTTGCATTTTTCAGTATTCTATTTCACTCTCCTTGTTAAAGTGAGGGGATAGCTTCCTCCATTCACTCTTGCGCTGCTTCAATCATTATGCTCTTCCATTACTGGCAAAGCAGTTTCACAGATTCAAAATGGCTGACAAAAAACATTCTCAGAGAGAGCACAGCATAAAAGCAGCAATTTACTGTAAGAAATTACATAGTGCACAGGATGGACCAGCTAAAGTATTTTTGATAAATTCTATCAGTCTTCAGTTGTGGCTCATCAGCAACATGACTCTTTTATCTTGAAATCACTTTTTGTCGCTCTCATTTAGCATAATGCATGAAAAGCTGCACTAATTCAGATTTATTCTGTCTCCCCATTTAATGTCTTTCAAGCAACATAAAGCACGTTCGGAAATAAAAATTGATGCATGACTAATGCACACCACTAGTATGCTGGCACAAAACTGACAATCTAGCAAAGCTACCTACTACACTTGGCTTTTATTTCTATGCACCCACACCAATTAACTCCCAAAAGCTTTTTGGAGAACAGGCATTTCAGCTTGCAATCAATTTTTTAGGGTATCTAGTAGTTCCTTCTTTAGTTCAGTATGAATATATGCAGATCTCTTTACAAAAAAAAACAAAAAACCACTGGGATCATCTGAACAAATAATCAACCTGCAGATTGAAAAGTTATTTTTTTAGTCCCTCAAGTATCACTGTTTTTGCTTGTTGCTTATAACGTGGTGTTGGAAGAAATGTCCTTCTGGGTTCGGCTCCAAGTGGGGAAAAAGACACTGGAGACANTTCAAACTTGACAGCTTTAAGACTTGTGGACTTCAACTCCCAGAATTCCTCCTCTCACTCTGCATCTTGATGATGTGCGGACGGGCGGGGGGAGGGAGCTAGAACCAGTTCTAAAGATTAGATTTGTAGATTTGTGGAACCTCTTCTATAGAAGAGGTTAGAACTGGCAGAAACCCACCCATGACCAGAATGATCCCTTTTTAAAAAAAGAAAAGTTATTAATTTACAGCTAATCCCATCAATTGAAAGAGAGAGAGAGAGAGGGAGGGAGGGAGGGAGGGAGGGAGGGAGGGAGATATGTTAGTAGTTCTAAGACTAAGCCTATATATGCTTGAAGCCTATATATGCTTGTAGTAAAATACAGATAAAATACTTTTCCTGCATTGGATATACATAGATAATCCTTGACTTATGACTAGTTGCTTAACAACTGTTTGAAGCTAAGACAGACAAACTCCCTTCTCCAAAAAGTTACTACTCCGAAAATATCCCATTTCAGAGTTATAACCACTGCAACACCCCTATGGTTATTTTCCCTTACAACCAACTGCAGAAATGCTGCAGCACATTCCTCCTGGTTTATATCTCCCCATCCCATTCTACGAGGTTCCCACTTTGTCCCTCATCATTCCTGGGCTACATCATTGCATCCCAGAAATGACCGCCATTTTCAAAGCAGACACAATTCATTGCGCTCATGCCAAACTGATGTCCATTTCTGGGATGCAGCCATATGACACAAGAACCAAGCAGTCCACTCTGCTTCCCTAACACAGTCTGCAAAGCCCTGCAGAATATTTCTGTAAAGAAATCTCTTTTGCATCCTCTATTCTTATTTGTAAGAGTATCTTTTCTGCTGTTTTCATAATTCTGCCCTCTCACTGAAAGAATTCAGTCCATGCATTCAACTTTTATATAATTTCTGGAATGCTGCAAAGCTTCCCACCACCAAATCAAGGAAGCCTCTGCCTGGGCTGAGAAGGATATCTTAATTACAGAATTGTTCTTTTTATAATTAAACACAAGGATTAGCATCCAGACAAACAGACACTTTTCATACTTTGGGGGCTTTTTCCTGTCCTGATTCCAATACTATCATGTTGCTTTTTCTCCTTAGGAATTTAGTGATGTTTGTCCATATAACAATTCCAAATTATTTACATTCTTGCATCATGCTGTTCTGAGTAAATCATATTTCAGCAGGGCCAAAGACTTATTTAATTCGGAACTGTTTCTGTCTCAACTGTTTTAATCCAAATGGGGATGCAGCCTGTTTGAAAAGTCCCACCCACAGTGCACTGTTTTCAGAATCTCTGCAGGGAACTCTGGGATAAGTGCCCAGAAAGTCTGTAAACGGAATCTAAAATTACTTTTAAGTAAGACAATCCAAATGTGAATGCAGAGCAAGCCCCTAACAGTTTTCACCACACCATCTGCATTCAAGATGTGGCTACACAGCTAGTTGAATTTTCTAGGGTCACCCAGCCTCTTATAGCTTTATCCACAATATGCACTGAATCACATGTTATTTGGACTGACTTGCATAATTTCAGACAACATAATGAGATGTACAGTTAATGATAAAAGAGAAGGAAAGGAAATGGAACTAGTTAACTATTTTTTTAAAATTTATATCATTATAAATGATATAAATTTTTAGCAATGGGGCATTCAAGGCAGTTCACAAGAGAAAATAAAAATATAGCAAATACCTCACTGGAACAATATTTCAACAGATGATCTTAGTGTCTTAAATTATTCTATTTATATACAGTATTTGGACTCTCATAATGTTGTATATATTGGTGAATAGTTATCAATTAGTATTGCTCCACAATAGTTAATGTATATAGTGACATACCTATAAATCTAGTTACAATCCAGCAGATCACAGTTCAGAAAGTTTAAGATTAGCGGAGAAGCATCTCTTGGTTGATCTTCTAGACAATGTCATTCCTGCAAACATGTCAAGAGTAAGGGTAAAATTTGTTCATTATTTGGATTTCAGTTTCAACGTAATGCAACAAAAAGGTTTAAAAATCAAACTGTTTGGGATAAGAAACATTCATTTCAGTTTCACAAGTTTTTAGGAAAACAAAAGTACTGGATTTTTTTAAAAAAATGCTATTGTCTGGAGCCACTGAAACAATTTTTGACAATTATCTTAAAAAGGCTATTAACTTCACTTCTCTATTCATCCACCAGCTTTCAGAATGAATATACTGTATGTATGTGTATATCTCTGTGTACAACTACTATCTCTGTGATAACTCAGTTTTCATTAGTAAAACGTCAAGTTTCATTAAGCAGCAAGTTAAAAAACCCTGTCATGTTCACTGAATAAATAGACATTTCTATACAACAAATGATTGGCATAAAATCCCCATTAGTGTCACAGGGAGAAGCCATGGTTGATGTACTCAAACCAAGAACATTGAATTTTTTTTTGTTGCAAACTCTTCAAATCTTAAGATTTTAGCCACACTAGATTCCAAAAGAAGAAAGGATGGGAAAAATCAAGTTAGAAATTTGATTGCCTTGAGGAGGAAACAATCACTAGAGAGCACATTTTAGGAAGTTGAAAGTTGGAAGTGACTAATTTTACATATCACAATTAATGAACAACTTCAAGAGAAAATTCCGTCAGATCAAAACTAGAACTATATAACATTTCCAAGCAGATATGCTTGGAAAACAGAAACTGAAAATTATGCAGCTGAGAGCAGAATTTGATGTTTTACATCAGGACCAGGAATATCTAAGAAGAGATACACCCAAGAATTCCAAACAAATCACTATTTGGAAAAACAATACTAAATGAGATCATGTTGGCAACAAAAACTGAAAAGCAGTTTGTGGAAGATCTGAAGTCATCAAGATATCACTTTGTTACTCTGGACTGAATATCTTAGCTTCTATAGCTATACAAAAAAAAATCATGTGATTTGTGAGCATATTTTAGAATTTATTGAAATTGATACAATAGCTGAACAAATGTGATTTTTCAAACGCTAGTAAGTATATGTTAATTGCTATAGTTGACATGAGAAGTCAGGGTCAATATGAAAGAAAAAACAGGAATGCAAACATCTGTGTATTTTTCTCTGCCCTAATTCATCAATTGCAATTTTGAAGCAAAATCTAGAAACATCATCTCTATCACATAAACCACTAAGTACCACATGATGCGAAGTTAAATGGAGATAATATAGCCTATCAAACATCAGAAAAATGGCATAAGGAAATGCAATCACCAGAAATGCACATCAACTTCACATTTTAACGTGGCTTAATGTTGTGGCATGACATACTTATTGGACTAAATGTGGTAAACAAAAGGTTCCCAAATGTTAATCTTGAGCAATGAACAGCAGAACAAGACAGTCATATCTGTTAGATTACCCAACAGCTAATGGGGTTGCAGAGTTACAAGATGTAGTAGGAGTTTTCTTACACTGTATTATGCATTCCCCACCCCGTGCCCATCAACTTCTTTTAAACAGTTTTAGAACTCTCAATTAATAAAGAATGTAATTAAAATAGCTCCCAAGCAGCCATTTTTCTTTTAAAAAGCAGCTAAACTAACAGCAGACAAAGGACTGGGATATTTGCAGGACTGCCTTCTTCCAAAAATATCTGCCTGCCCCACCTGCTTCAACAGGAAGGGTATGCTCCGGGTTCCACTTTTAAATATTGTTCTCTTGTGGAACCTAAGAAGCGGGGCTTCCTCTATTTTCTGGAACTATCTGCCCTTCCACCACACACAACCTTCAACTTTGCCTGCCATTAGAAAAGCTATTAAGACCTGGCTTTTTCCTCAGGTGTTTGGGTCCAGTTGGGTGGATTCTTGTTTTGATTGTCTATCTCATTTGGTTGTCCTTTTATATATTACATACTAGGTCGAGTTTTTTACGATTAAATTGTTATTTTTGTTCATTTACTGTCACATTGAGTTGGGTGGTCATGTAAACCCACAAAATAAATAAATAAATACACAATGCAAGCTCCATTTATAGATGTATGGTCAATGTTTGCATCTCCTTCTTCTTCCCATGTAGCACAATAGATTACGGGCATTACATTTTCATATTGGTAGGAAGAGTACATAGCTATGGGTTTTTGTGATAACTGATCTGTTTGTTCTCCAGAAGTTTTTCTCTGACTTGACAAATCAAGCCCTGATTCTTAAGATCAAACAGCTGATCTGGCTCCATTGTTGTTGTTTTTAATTCTATAAAAACGGAAGAGCCTCCTGGTCCAGATAGTCATATATATACACCAGGTAAAAAGCCAGGTAAAAACTTAGTAGAGTGTACAATTGGATTCTTTCCTAAACATGTATACTAAAACTTTGACATCTTCTGCATGAGATTGCAGACTGCATTCTGACAGTATATTCTAAACATTCTTGAAATATGAGAAGGCACCTCTGGAATCACTGAAAATATGTATTAGTATGCCACAGGATCAGAGGTGGTTTCAGCCAGTTCTGACAGGTTCTGGAGAACTGGTAGCAGAAATTTGAATAGTTTGGAGAACCAGCAAATAGGCTGGCCCTGCCCCCGCTGCCTCCCAGCAGATCTTCTTTTGTTGCCCTGCACAGGAGAACAGAACTGGAAAGCAGGTTAGTGGAGTGGGGAAGGAATGGAGATTTTGCATTATCCTTTCCTTGCCATGCCCACAAAGCCATGCTACGTCCACAAAGCCACACCCCCAAAAACAGAGAGTATTTCTAGGCTTTATTTTCATTGCATTTAATTAGTTGGTCATTGGGCATTTCAATTCCCTCACATGCAGTGATTTTGCCCCTTTTTATGGATACAGTGGCACATTTTTCCATGCCAAACTGCATTGAAATATCGGTGCTGAATACTCGGACTGTGTTTGTCAATGATTGGATTTCTATTTCTGACTTTCCATAGAGTTTCATTATTATTATTATTATTATTATTATTATTATTATTATTATTATTATTATTATTATTATTATTATTATTATTATT